TTTACATGCAAAGCTTTATTATTTATGTACATTCTTGAAACAACTTATACTTAGTACTCTCTTTGCCCAGGAATCTTTCATATCGGATTTGAGGGCTCTAAATCCAGAACTTTGCATTACAGCAGCATATGGGAATATTTTACCGTCTAACTTTCTTGATATTCCACCATATGGTAAGTAAAGTTTCTTTTATCCTTTAGTGGATTTTGAGAAATGTGTTCCAAGACCTTCCTGTATCAAGAAACTTTTATCGAGCTCCTCCTTAGATAGTTTATTTGAAAGAAGCTAGAGGGTTTGGTCTGCTTTCTTCATATTTTTTAAGGGTATCTAACTGGTCAGAGATCTTCATTACTTCATCATTTTTCTATGATACTTGAACAATAAAACTAAGACCTCATTAATGGATTGACCCACTTAGGTACTGTCAATGTCCACCCAAGTTTGCTGCCTCTGTACCGTGGGGCTGCACCAGTCCAAAGAGCTCTACAGGTTTTGTGGTTAGCCCTCTTGTCTAAGTTTGTAATAGATGTTGGAATTCCCACTAAGTATGCTGGCCATTAAATTGGATTAGGATGGAGTCGAGGAAACTGGAGTATCACTTGCATATACAGTTCGTGCATTGGATGCTGGCCCAGTTATTTCACATGAAAAAGTGGAAGTTGATGACTACATTAAGGTGAATCATTAATGCATCCTCTTTAGTAACTTCATTATGAGAAACAGTTTGACTTGTGCGTTGTTTGCAACCGCTTTGAAATTCATATGCTTTTATATAGTTGAAGATTTCGACGCAACGGGAGAAGCAGCCATAATGGATGCTTATTTTACTTAAGCTTCGTTTGGGACGACTTTCTTTCTGCTTCTTAAAGAAGTTTTCTAGTACAAAAATTTTAATTTATATATTAAAAAGCTGCTTTAAGAAATAGAAAGAAAGTCGTCCCAAATGAAACCTTAGAAGTATATTATAGTGCAATTGCGTCAGTGGATATGATAGTCTTGTTCCTTTTATTGGTGTTAATCAAGTATCTGCACATTCCTTGTGAAAGATCATGAAGTTTCTATGGACTTTAATTATCATTTAAAGAATTGAAAACATAATGGGATTCTAATCTCAACGGTTTGATTTCACAGTGTAGCACAAAAGTTTCCTTAGAAGTACTGAAAGGTACCCAAAATATTCATCTGAAATATCTAAATTGTATTAGTAACTTTACCTTCCATTGTCTGACTTGAAATACAATTATGCTATAAGCAATTTCTTTTTTAATTTTTCCGCTTTTTTTAAAGTAGCTCTGGTGCCCTGCACAGAGAATTCAAAATAAAAGAAAAA